CCAGGACTCTAAAAAAAGATCATGAAAATAAAATAAGCAATAAATTGTGTTCTCAATACAAATTGGTACAAATGCTTTATTTATCTGCCTAGGCACTCAACCTCAAATAAACAGCAACGCAATTTCTCCACTTGAGAGAATTTGAGGTTAAATGGTTAAATTGTACATAGAATACAAACCCAAATCAGAGCGAAGTTCAAACAAAAACTCCGTCACATGTCTGGACACAAACTTTATACCACACCGAATTATTTCAAATTAAATGATCAATGTATTAAATTATTCCAAGTTGAAAACTATTATGCGAAGTATATTGTTGGGCTTTGATTGAACAAAAGGAGCAGAAACTAGCGTCGCATGCACGAATCTTGCCTGACGCTTTGAGTACAAAAAAGATAGAAGAGTTGAGTAAATTTCATGATGGCCTTTTGATGAAAGATCACGATATGGTTAAACGTAATAAAAAGCCAAAATCCACGATTAACGGGTTTACGTGGCAAAAATGACCCAAAACAATAAAACATTTTTTGATTGTGCTAGTAAAATAACACAAGTTAAGTCTTCGGGCTTACATCTGGTAAAACAGCTTGTTCTTCTCTGGGACCATCATCATGTTTTTCGTTCTCAAAAGGATTGAAGGTGTCAATATCGTCCGCCATGTTGCAAATGGTGATCAAAATAGTCATGTGCTACTCGGAAATATTCGGAATTTTCCGAACAGTCCGGAAAACTCCGATACACCACGAGCGTATCCGAATATAGCTTCGGCCATTTTGTTTCTTCCAGGAGACAAGGTAGTTTTCTTTTGGCGATGGCCGAAGCACAGCTTTTAGTTCTGGGCCCAGAAGGTGTTGGAAAAACTGTTATGCTAAAAAGGCTTCAAACGTTGACTGCCCAGCAGAATTTAGCGCAAGCACTTCACAAGCAAGATCTTGGCGAAGCACCTTCGACAATTCCCACGATTGGAGTGAATTTGGTTACTGTAACATACAACAGAAAGAAATATACCTTCAGGGAACTCGGAGGAGCAATGGGGCCAATTTGGAATAATTATTTTAAAGACGCAGGTTATTTAGTGTACATCATAGACACGGCAAATCAGACCCAGGTTGCGTCTTCATGTATTCAACTTCTTGAAGTGCTCGCCTCGAAGCAGACCCAACATATGTCTGTTCTTCTGATTTTTAACAAGATTGATTCACCAGACCGCCTGAGTATGAGCGAAATAAGCGCTCTATTAAGACTTAGGGAGATATCGGCAAGTGCTAGGCAAGATATTACAGTTCTGGAGTGCAGCTTTCGCGAAGGGGCAGGCTTAACTGAAATTTTAAAATGGCTGCAGGAGAAATGTGCGAAGTAAAATGAAATAAACATCTGTTTTGAGGTATAAACACCAATTTTTGTTTTCTCTTTCATCCAAGTCAGTTTTCCGAATTAAAAATTTTAGTCTTTGGAAAACATTACTTTCCTAAACCTCTGGGTAAATGTTCAATACTTATGTTTTGCTGATATGTATTGTGCTGTCAGTATAATCAATAGATTCCATGTTACCTTTTATATGTTCATCAATTGATCACAGTGAACATTAAAATGTGATCACAACAAAAACATTGGTGTGGAAAGTGTAGGCAAGTGTGTCACTCATTTTCTTACCAAAATTTTGATGTTTTCTCTGATATATAATACTGAACCAACCCGCAACAACATGGAAACTCATTGTTATAAAGTAGCAAAATGTTGTTAGAGGTGACATAATCTATGCAACCATCCTCCAACTGATCAATAATTAGAACCAATGAAAATGTGTCAGCAATTAGCTTATTATACAAATTTAATACAGATTTGATGCCCTGAAGTGAAGGTTAGGTGGGTGTGTGCTACCAATGAAAGTCTTCAACCCCAGGTCCTGTCTTCCAGGATATCCCTTTACATGCTTCCTGATATAAACCAGATAACTGTGTCAGCTCAGGCACCCTTAGTTTGAGAGTATGCTCTCAATGATGTTAATTCATAAATGGTTTTGCCCACAGGATAAGTTGAGTTGCAAATAGAGTGAGTTGGCAAGAGGGCCGGGATCTGTCAGACTCAGCTCCTGCTCACTTTGCTTCCAACTTGAACTATCCTGAGGAAAAACTGCTTGTTCTGTACTGCCAATGAGAGCCATCTTGCTAGCTATGGCTGGCTGACTTGAACAACCTCTTGGGTAGAAAAAACCTACTCAAACATTGGAGGCTTGGTGGCAGGTTAGGGTACTCTGACCTTAATTGGACAGAACACTTTTAATTAGATTCTAAAAGTTGTAGCTTTGATAAACATAGCCTGTTCTAGGCTTTCAGTCCAGAGATGAGTAATGAAGTTGTATATGCTGTCTCAGAGGCCCCTAGAACTAACTGGAGGGGTAAAACCTGTTCTGCCCAAATATGGACCATGGCCATGTGACATTAAAGTAAGATTCAAACTCGATTCACTAGCTTTGTTTACTCTTTACATTGGACTCCAAACTATCTGGATTGGGAGGTTCCCTGGAGTGGATTGGCATTCAATTGTTAAAGAGTGCAGTTGAATCGTGCTAATCTTATCACCACTGGGACAGAAAAATTGGCTGCATTAACAGGGTGACTGTAATACTGGGCCGAGTCAAATTTCTTTATCTCTTTGCAAGTTGTATTGGTGGATTTTCAGCGTCAAGATTTATTTCCTTTGCCATGTTTGTAATGGAAACAGGGAGGAAATTTGCTTCCTTGTGAGTAAATCGGCTTTTTGCTCAGTAAATGACAGAGATTAATGAGATCAACATTTCGAAGGTATTTTGGTCCTCTAATTTTAATGCTAGTTTTTTTTATCATTGGGCTGAAATTGTAAAGAATCTACTCTGGGATTTTAAAATGTGGTCATAAAAGATGACCACATTAACAAGGGTGTTTTAAGGCTTTTTTCATGGCCCATAAAAGAGTGGGCACAATTGCAAGGTGACCATATTACTGGGGTGAACACCTCACTGAGTTGGTGGTAAGGCAGGGTGCATTCCTTATTGCTTAGAGCCACAGAAACCAGGGAAAGGCACTGACTGTGAAGAGCTGTTTGGCCATAGGAGTTAATTAACCTTCAGATGCCTGCCATTGCTCAGAACTGACTAGCTAAACTAACACAGAAAAGATTTTCTTCATGAATATTCATTTAAAAAGAATCCCTTTTTATTCCCACATTCCATTTTGATTTTGTAGTTACGATTAAAATGTAACAATATATTAAACACCATAATCTGCATTTGATTACATGGATGCACTCAAACTTAGCAAACATTTGAGAAGCATGGAAATGTGATCAAGAACTGTTTGGAGTTAAAGTATTATATATATATCTTCTCAACTGATAATTGAAAGTTAAACACTGTTAGTTAAAAAATAATTAGAACTGTAATAATCATTGCTATAACATTTTTCTTATTGAGCTCTTGATAAATTATTTCTAAGCTGAAAAATATTTTGGACATAAATAAGACACATATGATCACTGCATGACATCCTTTGAGGAGAAATATTGTAAAAAATCATCCTCCTTGTTTATTTAAATAGTAATGCATGCATATATATTTTCTTTATTTTTGTATTCACTTTTTGACTGACATATGAGATTGAATGATATGTCATATGAATACAAATTGAAATGAATTTCATTATATGTAAGACTTTACCAAAGAGGCTTAAGAATGTTAGCCAACTTCCCTGAGAAATTATCTCATGAACAATTATTCCTGAACAACAATGCCCCTTTATTAAAAGTAGCTGGTGAAAGCTTTTTTCAGTTCACAGTTCATGTCCCTTGAACAGAGACTGTACCAAAATAAAGACTGATTCTGCTTTAGAATCAAGTGTGCAAATAAAAGAGCTGCCTAGTAAACACCTATCCAATCATGTTGGAAACTAATAACAAATAAGCTATGGATGAACTGCTCCATAAGAGTTCAGTGCTTTGTCACTGTGTTCCTTAGGATCTCTGCTTTCAACAATTACTTCATATCTCTGATGCTTTGACCCATAAAGACAATAGTGTTGAACCATGAAAAACACATCAAATAGAATTGAGATGGCTCCCAAACCAAACTTGGTAAAGTCACCAAATATAGACTTCCAATCATCTGCAAAATAATATGAAAATTTCTTGATCAAAATCACATCTTAGACTTGAAGAAGGAAGGTAGTTAACCATTTAACTTCCAAGGTCTGATTGTTAATTCTCCCTTCTAGTTGTTACACATTCCTTGTAAATAACTTACGAGAATTTGGTGTTAGATCAAGACAACAATTTCTACCTGATACATTTGAGCATTCTCATTACCTGTTTACTAGATAGTGCATGGATATTGTTGGGAGAAGTTACTTGTAAACAACTTCTGGGAAGTAACACATGCAGTATATAAGAAGAGTAACACATGGAGCTTGACATGCAGTAACCCTAACATCAGTATGCATTTCTTCTCCATGTCGTTCTGTATACATTTGCTAGGGAGAAATAGTTTAAACAATGAAGAGCTTCACTGGTTGATGATCATTTCTTTTATTCTTGTGTCCTAAATGTGTCATTCAGGGATAATATTGTAAGGAGACTTTAGATGTTTATAGTTACCCTTGCTTACTTTGTTTTCACATAGCCTCCCCTGCTGCCATTTCAAGGAGGTTGTTTTCATCCTTTTGTAGGGGAACTTAACCCTTTTACCCCTAAGACTTAAACCAGCATCTAATTTCTCCTTACAATATCACCTCTAAATCAGACATTCCGGTCACAAGAATAAAGGAAATAATCACCATGCAACTAAAGAAGCTCTTGATTGTTAAACCAATTCTCCTTGTCAACACCTTAGTAAATATTAGAGTATAGTGTGGAGAATATGCAAACTGATATTAGTGTGTAAAGGAATAAAAAAACCAAATATATTACCGAGCAACAAGGATGTGGTAATAGCAAAAGATGTTGGTCAAGCATTATAGTGACAAACATATATATTTATAAGCTTTGTGGATTTTCCTATTTTTGAAAGGTGCAAATAATTTCCAATAAACTAGAGACATTGTATAACAATTATTTGCAAAGTGAATATTGTTAAATACATGTAATTCAACTATTTATGACAACTATTATTCAACAATATTCACTTTGCCTGAGGTGTATGCCAAGGCAGCAATTTTGAAATTTAGCACCCCTGCTATCATCACCTCATGCAAAGTGTAATAGTGGAATATGAAGCAGTCCTCCACCAATCAGAGCACACTCATACATACAATCACTGGAGCAATCATAATTAGAATGTTTAAATTGTTAGACATTTTATATAATCATATAAAAATCAAACTCTATGTCTTTTCCATGTTCTACCCGGCAGAATTTGGAAGGAATATTAGTGGCTCACTGGAAAGGAAATACTGCATTAAAATGGGGTAGGAATATATTGTGGCAAGGAGAAAGGGGCGAGGAATTTTTTGGTGGAAGGGCACAAAAGAAGTGATTTCCACAACGTTCAAAGTACTGGTAGAAACGTCATGATGCATGCACTTACCATTATTGTAAGCTAAAAGGAACATCTGTAGAATACTCAAGGATCCTCCAGTAAAATCTAGGAGAATGTTACCGATACTCCATCCAACAGTGCTCTGACGTCTATAGTTCATCCATGCCTGTTAGGAAAGAGTAGACATTTGGGTTGTAACAATCATGAGAAATGTTAAGGTCTAGTACAAGATACCTATAGTATATAACTAGGTGTTTGTTTTCACTCATAATGATTTTCATAATAATGTGCAAGAAACAATTACAAGAGTCTAATTGGCTGAAAACGAGTGAATTTTCATGTCATACAAGTGCAAAGTTATAGCATATGCACAAGTACAAATTACAAATAGCATGCACATGTAAACACTTTCAAAATTTCATCTGTCTTGACTTTCTGTTATGTTTTAATTTCTCATGTACATTTATTAACAAGAAATGACGTGGTTTCTCTTGCAATTTGATGTAATAATTAAGCAGTTGCAAATTTTTCAAAGACAGGCTGATTATTTTGTTGTCTTTGAAAAATTTACTTGTGCTAATAAAGTAACACCAAATTGCGAGAGAAATCACCTATATTAACAACACCCATAAAATCTACCCCTAACTGGAGCAGCACAACTTACAGTTTTGTTAAAAGCTTACCTCACCCCCTAAATTTATCCCAAATAAATCAAACATAAGGCATCCAAGAGTTAGTTGCTGCTAGCTACCCTTGGATGAAATTCTAGTCTGGCATAATAAGTTACCACCCTTCCCCTCTCATATTGCCACAGTTTGCCAGTACCCATTTATACCCTAGGGTGGGGAGGGGAAGGCATGTGAGAACAGTGTCTTACCCTAAGAACACAACACAGTGGCCCAGTAAAAACTCAGACCTCTTTACCATTAGGCCAAGATCTTTTTAAGGCAGTTTTATGGACCAAGATGAACTATTTATCTTAGCATATTGACATGGTTATATTTGTATGAGCAAATTAAGGAAATATTGGCATGCCAAGAAAAAAAAAAAAAAAAAGAAGAAAAATCACATTTGCTTAAATCTTTCTTGTATTCTGTATTTACCTGTGGAATGTACTTGATGAGAGTTACCCCAATTTTGATATATGAGAAATAATATAGATAAGTGAGCCATGTAATTTTATGGCAAATTGTCACCACCAATGCCACTGCTGCAAACAGCCATGTACCACTTAGTAGGATCTTAGATAACAGAGACACTTTCTGATTTCCACGCTGAAAGATAAATAAAACACAAATATCAAGAAAGTTAATATAATCATGTTAATGTATATTAAGCAAGAGTTTGTTAGCAAAATATTACAAATTATCAGAATCCCACCCAGTCACACTCCTTGGGTTAAGTCACGAACAGTATGAACATGCAAAGGACCTTTAACCCTTTCCACTCACAAGATAATTCTCCTTACTGTCTGCTATACAAATCTTATGATATTAATTTGGAGAATTTGGTATTGGATCAAACAACAATCCCTTTATTGATATTTTTCTTCCTTCTTATCACTTGTCTTCTTGATGCTGTATGGATCAATTCTAAGGAGAGATTCTGTCTTGGTCACAGTCATGGGTGTTAAGGGGTCAAAGCAACTGTATCATGGACTGTGCCCGTTGTTTTAGCAATAATTATGTTTGATACTAATTGCAACTTCAATTTTGTGAACTTAAAATATACGATATCTTCAATCAGTTTTGTTGCTGAAAATGTTTCTCTGTAATCACAGACGTACGGTTGTAGTTGTAAACTGAGAGAGTATAAAATATAGAGAAAAAGTGTTCAAAATACTTACCTCGTAACAGAAACATTGAAAAATTGTTATAGTAGTAAGAAGAATGGCATGGAGAGTAAAAAATACATCATTGGGTTGAACTGGGTTAACTCCTCCAGGGTGCTTTGCAAAATATTCACGCTGAAAAATAGGAAGATTTAACAGAGTAAATATCATCTTTCCTAAGGGGGACAAGGATGAGAAATTATAATTTCAATACTATTTTTATCATCCCTGCCAAGTAAATTTGAGAGAATTTCTTCTGCTTTCCTCATTTTTCATTTAACACTGGAGCAAAGTTGTAACACAAATAGCTTGCATAGGCTGTCAAAATTTCATTTTGTCTTAAGTTTTTGTTCTTGTTAACAACTAATTGCACTATTGTCTTGCAATCTTGTTGTTACTTATACCAATAACATCAAACTTTCAGGGTTTGTTCAGGTGGAGGTAAGGGATCCCAGGTAGGTGAGGTAACCTGTGCATGCCTAGGAGGGGTAACCCACCTGTCTAATATTTTAGCTTGTTCATACACGTTTACATGATAAGTGTGGTAATCTGCCTTGGAGAGTTGCTCTGTCTGTTGGGTAAGGTAACCCTGTCAGCCAGGGAGACAATTTGCCATGTAAACATCTCAAGATGGGGTAACCTGCCTGGGCGGGGTCGCAGGGAATTCTGGGGTTGAAAGATTATAATTATGTAGACATGGGCTAGTTTTGGACCACAGCGAAGTGGGTTACCTCACCTACCTGGGGTTCCCCACTTCCACAGAAACAGGTCCTTAATTACCTTATAATGTTAGATATTTTGTGACTGACAATTATCAAGACTTCAATACTTAATTCTCTCTAAAAATTTGTGCTCCCCACAACAATGAAACTGATTGTTTCCCACAATAGTTTTTTAAAAGGTTTTGACATCTTTTTGCTATATAGTTTCTTGTCTAGCTGCTCCATCTAACCCCCACCCCCAATTCAAACAAACCAAACCATTCTGTACTAACCTGAACCTCATGCACCCAAAACATGCCTATGTTAAATAAACCATAGGCTACAAATCCTGTGAGGTTGTAGGCCAAGAAGTCAAAATTGAGACCTATCACACTGAAAAAAATTAACATTAGATTACATTACTAAACTTTAAACTCCATCTTAAATAGGCCATTTCTTTCTAATTCTTGTTACACATATTTCACTGTCTTATATAACTTGTTCCAGACATTTAATCTTAGTCTCACTTTCACTTCAGACAATTAGAAATTTCCTTAACCCTTTTATACTCTAAAGATCTCATTAGAAATTTTCCCTACTCTCTGCAATACAATTTCAATATTAGTTAACAGTCCCATAATTGATATTTTTCTTTACTTTCATTCCTTGTGAGCTCAATAATGGATTGATGTTGTAAGGAGAAATTCTGTCTAGCCATCAATCACGGGAGTTTAAAGACTTAAAAAAGTCAATTAAAAAGCTCAGCTGGAAATATAACCAAAAGAGAGTTCAACACTTTTGCCTTACCAAACATTTCTGAGAACTTGTAAAAGTAGAAGGAAGATTTGATTTTTTTCTATTTATGAGGAATCACAAAGGGATTATGCCCTTTTCATGCTACTCCCTGGGAACTGGGATAGTTTTCTTTATCTGTGATCTTGATTGCTCCATGATAATTATCTTGAACCCTTTCATTCCCATCAGTGACTTGGACATCATTTCTCCTTACAATATCAATTCATTATCAAGCAGACAATTTGTGAAAAGAAGAAAGAAGAATATCAACTATGGGAATATTTATTGGTCCAACAATAATTCCTCAGAATTAATACTAGAAGAAATATATGGCAGACAGTATAAAAAGAATTGCTTGCAAGATCTTGGAAGTGAAAGGGATATATGGCTATATATAAAAGTTACCTTTTCCTCTTCCAGTTGAGAAAAGCCTGCAAAAAAGCAATAATTCTTTCAGGAATAATTGGCCAGAGCATACATAAGTATTTCTGTTCTACACTTTCCAGACAAATATCTTTCCGAGCCTTGAAATTCTCTGCTGTTGAAAATCCACCTTAGAAATCTAGACTTTCAAAGAACAGTTTTATTCCAAATTCAAAAGGTTTCTTTAAACTAAGAGACCCGCCAGTTATCCAGAAGGAAACTGTAATTGAAGTCCTAACTTCATGATATAATATTGCAATATTCAAAACTCTTCAATACCTGAGGATAAAATGAAATGGACCATGCCACAAAATACAACCAGCCAATCACTTGGTTGATTATATACAGAGGCATGGAGTGTACTACTCTCATGTCCAAACTAAAATCAAGAAAGAAATTCAAAACATGCAATTAATTTCAACAGTTCATCTATTTGAACAAATAGCAATTTAAAAGGAATGAATGTCACCATTTATTTGATGCAGATAGTCAACATACCTAAAATGGCTGTCTGGATTGGTCTCATTTTGCACATGACATAAAATAGTAGCTTTTCCAATTCCAATCCCTTTAACGGCCACTGAATGCTTTTTGTCTAACGAGTGCACACGAACCTTTGGAAATAATAGGATTGAAATTTAGTTCATTCAGTTGTGTACATGTAATCTCACTGTATAAAGCTCCCCCTGGCTCCCCAGCCCCCCATCCTTCCATTTCTTGACATCTGCAAGAAATTAACCCACACCAGGATACCTGGTATAAATTATATATTAATCGTGTTTCACAATTGTATAATTGTTATCAATGGTTCAAATGTTGGGTAATGGTAAAGAATACTGCTTACTACCAAGCATGCAACTATAAAATGGACTAATTCCTCCCTACAATATCAATACAATATCAAGCAAACAAGTGATGAGATCAAAGCTCTATGAGAGGATTATTAGTTGATCCAAAACCAAATTCTCAAATCTAACATCCTATGAATTGTATGGCAAACAGTTAGGAGAATTACTAATGAGATCTTAGTAGTGAAAAGGTTAAACAGAGTTAGTCTGTGATGTGTTTGGAAAAGCTACATTGTAAGCTCACCTTTTTGGGCACCTTAATTATTCCTGGCTTGGTATTATTTATAATTACCACTATGGTAACATTTGAAGATGCTTTACCACTGTTAAGGAAAGGAGAAAACACAGTTTTGAAAGCATCCCATGAGGTAAACAAGCCATTCGACAAGTTGTAAACATTTAATTTGCATTGCATGCCTTCCTTGACAATCACTTGAAAAGGAGAAGGTACGTGGTAAATGGATGGAGGAATCATGGAAGATTCTCAGGAATACCAATCAAGGGAATCTCGATTTTGACACATAGGGAGTCAATTATACTACTTTTAGAATTACAGACTAATTTAGTGGCCTGATCAATGGCTGGTATGACATATTCAAGATCAAAACTTCTAGGTTTGAGCCTTGGCCAGTCTCAGCACCACATTCAAGACTGAAACTTCTGGGTTTGAGCCCTGGCCAAGAGTCTTCAGTCTTAGACAAAGTAAATAACAATTATTATAACATAACATATCAATATCACCTATGAAATGAAATATATTAATATTATCAATGAAACTGTTTAATACTGTAGGTGAAGTATTAAGCAATAGCAATAGCAATATTACCTTTCTGTTACTGTAAACTCAAAATGTGTAGTATCATTAATTTGAACTCTGTCCTTGTTTGAGTTTAGATGCAGTTTGATACCTTCAAATAAAAAATAGAGGTGTAAATAAAGCAATCCAGCCCATGATTTTGCTGCTCCTGACTGTTATGTCAGGACCAGGTTGTTCAAAGCTGGCTTAAGATGACCCACTGGGTTAGTGTGAAATCTGACTTCATATCTGAAAGTTTTAGAATTCATTTTAATTCTTTTAGTCTGCAATTTGATGATTGGATATTTTAAAAAGACAAGAGAAAATTATCCCAAAAACACTCTTGAATAAAGAGATAGCAAAACTTGAATTAAAATTTTAACCTTGGATTAGTGCTAATTGGCTTTCAAACAACTGGTTGCTAACTGAGCTACAACCAAAACTGTAGACAGAGATATATAACTGATGGAAATCTACCCTTGTTTTCAACCTGAACTAATATATCCTACTCCTCCTGGCCCCAGTTTTCCTTTTTCAATGCTGTTTAGTTTGTTATCTTTTCTTAGTAACATGTATTGGTATATTCAGCTTAAAAGACAAAGCAGCACTGACAAGACACAGGACAAGAGAGGAGTGATTTTTTCTTTTCTCGTCTTGCATTTAAGAGGTATTAAATGTCTGTGAACAAATTGTTTAGAGTAGATCGATTTGCCAGTTAGACCCCCCCCCCCCCCCCAGAAAAAAAAGAACAAAAAATTATTTTTTTCCCCTTTTTTTTTCAGGATGGTTTAGATAGTTTACCAGCAAACATCTCGCGAGACATAATGCTAGGATTAGAGAGTCAATGCACAATTTTGTTACATGTACGTTTTTGTCCTGTGATGGACTTCGGGATAAGAACATTTGGGTGTTTTGCCACCGGTGATTAAAGTGAAAGATGTTAAGTTCAGCAAGTGACAAGGGCATGCCTTCATCACATCTACCGGTGACATAATTGGAGATATATGGAAATTATTTCTGTATTTCGAAACTGCAATTTCTCGTCACTTTTTCCGTAAAGGTCTTGTTGAATTGCATTGCTTAGGAGACTGCTTAAAAAAGTGCGCGTTAATTTCTTTTTGTTTTGGAATTTAGGCAGAAGAAGCCTGCATGCACAAATTTATCTTTGTTATCAGCACTCGTAAGTTAGAATCAACCTCTTGCTATAAGGGAATTGTACTTCATGAACCCATCGACAAGGAAGTTGAAAATCACACCACAGTTAATGGTTGGTTTAAGAATACATTGAAATTCCAAGCAACAAAATTTGATAACATTTTCCTTATAAACATGTACACGAAAGGTTGATCAGAACTACTGTTCATGTAAAATTATCCCTCAGGTCACCAGAAATTAAATGTAAACAGCAGAGCCAGTTTCTCATCTCACCTTCAGTACTTAGTACTTGCACGACAATAAAGCACGAGATAAGCCACGCTTTACACATTCTGTGAATCGATCTCTTTCAAAGACTCTCGGAAGCTACCATCTATGTAGGTAGGATGGTTTCTGTTATCTCTCTGACGGAAGATGCAGACTCATTTTCTTATTAAATTGTCGTTAAGAGCGCGTGAATGTCACGCGCCGGATCACGCGCCGATCATAATAGTGTACAATTGTACAGCGGCTTTTCCACAATAACAACAACAAAAAAGGTGGGGGGGAGGGGGAAGGGAAAAAGAAGTTTCAAGGTTAACAGCCTTAGACCTCAGCTCAAAGTTAGGATTTAATGCATGCTAAGATATTTCTTTAGGAATATTTGTTTCACTTCTGATAACGACCTTCTGGGAAAATTCTCTCTTCTCTAAATTCTCTGATGATTTCAAAATGTTTTTTTTTGCAAAATTTAAAATGGGAAATAAATTCAAGTTTTAACTTTATTTTAAATTTACATGATCTATAACTATAGAGAACCCACAAATTTAATCTCATACCAGTTATACCCAGATCCTCCGGTGTAACTAGCACGACCGTGGGATCTGAAACTAAAATGCAATCTCGAGCCCAGAGTCATTTTGGCCCCTTGTAGCGATAATGGTCCCTAAATGTGCCATTACTTTGGCGACCGCTGACAGGGTCAAATAATCCATGGGCTCGAGATTGCCCTGCTTGTCACAATACGTGCCCACTGTACTACAATTCTGCGGCGCTACAACTCAATTCATAATGGCGGCGCTCTTAAGGTGAGCGAAATCTACTCTTTCGCAGTGTTCTCGGATTTTAGAGCAAGATCTTAACCTCTAATCGTCTGATTTTTTTCTAAAAGATATCTACTAACTTTAATTTATTATTGCTTGTATTACAGAGCAAAATTTTGTCGGTTACTAAGGAAATGTTTGTTCCAAGATGTCTCATCCACATCACCGTCATCGACATCGTTGAGCAAACTAAACTTATTGATTTCTACGAGAAGACAAGTCAGGTAAGCTTTCGTTGGAGATATTTTGTCCTGGGCGCAATAGTAGGGAGGCACGAAAGAGCTCATGAGAGATTTATGCGTCGCGTATACATAAAGCTCGGTTCCTGAAATTGGGACGTATCTAATCGTTTTTTTCGATACTCGATAGAAATCGAACATTATCATGGTATTTTATCATTGCCCAAGTCATTCTATTTCTCTCACTCTCTTCTCCAAGCCATATGTAATTTTGCATGTATTTGAAATCTGCTGTAAGTTTTGAAGTAGGTGGATGTTGCTAAAAATCAAGCTGTTCCTATGTTTATTTCTTAGAGATATCTTCAGATAACAACTGAGTTTCTGGCTAAACCCCGAAAAAATTATCGGCTGAATGAAAATTTAACATGCATGTTAAACTCTGTATTTATCAGAAAAGTATTAGTAGAAACAATGATTTGATTTTTTCTCTTCCAGTATCTGTAGTGCAACAATTAGCCGAATTCCAAAAAAGGTGTATTCTCGCAAGTACAAGGTCAGGCTGGTCCAACCAGATGGTTCATCTTTCTTCATTAGATATGAAAAGCCATTGAAATTAATTAAACAGCCAATTAACCCAGCTGAAATGACAGAGGAAGAGAAGAGAGCAAGAATGAGGCGATTAAAACCTGAAAAGCCAAAGACAATATATGAACTTGAGGATGAGGATGGTGATCATGATCAGAGATCATGGGCTAATTTAATGAAGAAGAAATCTTGAAAGTCACAAAAAATAACTCTATCATTGCTAAAAAGACACCAGGACTGGCATACTGTAATGGTATACACACACTAAGTGACAAATTGTTATGAAAGGTCTGCAAAGAACAGCTCTGTGAATATGAAAGCGATCTTCAGCTCTGTGTTGCTTGCCCTAAATTCTGTATGAATTCAAAACAAGCTGAATATGTGTATGACTTATCTGAGATAAAAAAAGCAAAAATATATGTTACATGGGCAGAGTTTTATAAAGGACAATTGAAAAGGAAAGTTGTAGCTGCTACCTATTGTTCATTATATCTGCCAGGACTTGTCACTTAGTTTGTCCCCTCTTCTGGAAAAAATTCAAAGTTAACACAAAGCTGTACAAAGGGGGTAAGTTTCTAAAGAAACTGTAGTGCTGCTTTGGTGAGTGAGTAAAACAGAGTAATTTAGTATTATCAACTGAGTTGATGAATCAAATGATCCACAGTAAAAAAGCAGATCTTTTGAGCATAAGCTCTTCGTAAGAGCAGATGACAAAGGGCTAACCCTTGAAACATCAGCTTTGAAACTCCAAAGGGTGGCTAATTTATGTTATCTACTCAATCAATATACTTAATTACAAAGTTGTACAGCTCACTCAGCAGGCACTTGGGTAACCACTCCAAGTGTTTGAGGTACATGTAAAGGTCAATATGAGCATGGACAAAGATTTATCCATTTTGTTTGACTTCTCAACCATGTGTGCCCCCTTAACTTGTGTGTAACAAATAATTTTTTTCAATAAAGTGATGAAACTTATCCAGGGTTACATTAAAAATTTGATTCACTTTGCCCTCTGGTTGGTCTGCCAAACTCATGCCAGTTACTTCATCAATCAAATGCAAGCTTAACCCTTTGATCTTTAACAACAACAGGGACCTGGTTTTCATATTCTCCATACTGTTCACTGTGCATTTACTAGGATGCTGTTAAGGAGAATTTGTCTATGAATTAAGAGTTTCTTTAGTTGGTGATCACTTCCTTCATTCTCATGACATTAATGTGTGGTTCAGTGGTGATATTGTGAGGAGAAATGCTAGATTGCTAGTCACTCTTTTGGGTTAAAGGGTTAATTAGTAACTTTTGTAATTAACTTAGGAGACTCAGTGGCCCACTGCTTAGTGAGCTAGATGCCAGGTCAGGAGGTCTGGGTACAAGACCTAACTGGGTCATTCTGTCATGCAAAAACACTTTGTTATCACTGTGCCTCTCTTCACTGAGGAGTATTAATGAGTACTGGCAAATTATCATGGAAGCCTGATGAAATACTGGGGGGTAGCCTAGCAATGGACTGGCATCCCACACAGGGAGCACAGTAAATACTCCCAGTTGCTTTATGCTATGGAAACTAGGATGAACTCTGGCTTCCAGGAAAACTTGGCTCAAGTGAAGACTTTAACTTTATTATTAACTTGTTTATCGAAATTTAATGATTTTCATCAACCCTCAAATTATTTCAAAATATTGGGACAAATTTCCTTAATTCAACTCATTTGCATGTTCAACCTGATTTCACTCTTTACCATTTTTTCTCTCCCTTTTATGGCCAGTTCGTGACTTTGTCCTTTACTCTTATTTTCTAGTATTTTCCCACTAAGTCCATTTTACCCTTTAACTCCCAGATCCAATTTGTAATTCTCCTTACTGTTAACCACACAATTCTTGTAATGTTAGTTCAGAGAATTTAGTATTGGATCAACTAATTATCCCCAAATTGATATTTTTCTTTATTCTCATCACTTTTCTTGTTGATATTGAATTGATATTGTAAGGAAAAATTCTGTCTCTCATGGGAGTTAAAGGGTTAACGTGACCTGCTTGTGACGCAATGCTTCGTTTTATGACTGCTTCTCAGACGTCACTTCCGGTTTCGGCAAATTCTGAAGTTGCTCTTCAAAGTCTGGGAGAGAATCAGCTTTGTTGTTTAGCTTCACATCATCTGTTAATGGTGTGATTGTTCTGTTGTTGTTTTCTCCCTCCTCTGAGCTGTCATTTTCTTGCAACGGGATTTTAATGACAGATCTCTTCACTTTTTTCTGCTGCTTTTCCTCAGAATCAACGTTTTCACTCTTTCTGATTTCTGAACTCCTGTTTAAACTGCTAATTCTCTTTTTGAATTTACTTTGTTTCCCCTCAGTTCTTTTTTGCTTAATGGATCCTTCAAGGTTTCCAGCTTTCTCAATACTTCCAGTCCCCTCTTTAACTTGTTGGTCGTTGTGTACTGGTACAGACATATGATGCCCTTCCACTGAAAGCGTATCAACGTTTGCTTCGGTACCAGTGTCTGCGCCTCCAAGCACTTTCCCGCGTAACTTTTTCAAATTAATCTCATTTTTGACATGTGATTCGAGTAATTTGCCATTGCTATTGGCGGTTGTTTGTTGTTTTCTGTGCACTGGAATTTTACGTGACTTTTTCTTGATTGTGCTCTTATCATCTTCAACCTTATTGACTTTATTTGCTGCAGTTGCTTGTACGGTTTTCTCCGTGGAGTTTGGCACATTAGAAATTTTCTTTGTTGACTGCATAGAGACAGATGAATTTTTTTCCTCTTTTATCTTGCTTTTCTGTTTTTGTTTTTCTTTTGCGTCTTTCATTGTTTGCTTCATTACCTTTACTTTCCTCTCCTTTAAAGTCTCACCCCCTCTCACTTCCGGTCCACTTTTGATATCGTTGGTGTAGTGGGAATGTTTCTCAGTATTCTTATTCCCAATTTTTTCCTCGCCGTCTGTTCTGTCCAGTTTTTCCTTGCTCTTGTCCAAATCATACATACTTTTGTCAAGTAGAGCTAATTCTCCTTTTGTTGGAGCAGAATAAAATGTCCATGCCCCAAGGTGTCGAAGAACTTTACTTGGAAAATTTGCTGCGTATTTCCTTGGAGGTGGATCATCTGAGAACAAACGATCATGCGCGGTAGCTTCCTCTCTATTCACCACAGTCAGCGGTGGAAGAAGGTTTAACACGTGATCGCGGCGTGAAACTGCACGTGATCGTATCGGGGTTGTCGTTGAAAGTGCCATGAGCACATGTGAAAATAACGTTTTCCAAGAGTGTATGAAAAAATGTCTGAATAATGAAAAAAAGAAACATTAGAAATATCCTTTGCGTAAATAATTTTCCTTGCTTATGAAAATGATTAGGTCAAAATGTCTTACAAGTCTTTTGAAGCCCTAGCTTAGCTTCGTTAAGAAATTCTATATATAGCGAGCAACAGTCTCTTCACAAGTGCACTTGCCAAAATACTTGCATCATAATCAAAACTGTGACGAAATTCCTGACTGTGATTGGTTTATTAGCAGCCTGATTTGAGCATTTTTAGGACAGTGTGCACGACATGCTCGTAAATGGACGGTGTAATAGGACACGTATAATTGATGACTATT